TCTCTCTCTGTCAAATAAATAAATAAAATCTTTAAAAAATAATAATAATAATAATAATAAAAAGGACGACTATCTATTTACCATCAAGTTGTTTAGTTCATTTTGTTTCATATTCAAGGGAGAGGGAAGGTTGGAAGAGGCTGAGAGAATAAAGTTGGATGGGGCCTCCACCAGAATCAGACACCCAGTTGGCCAGTGTCTTTCCGCAGGCCTCCCGCTGGGTGGTCCTCTCTCCTGACCTCATCCTTGTCCCCTTGCCTTTCCCTAACATCTGGCCTGACACCTCTTTCAGAATCGAGAGCTTTAAAGGTTCTGGCCCAGAGGGATTCTGGAATTAAAACTTTCACTTTCTGCCAAGAGCTAAAAAGCTGTTTTCCATCTTTACCCTACTTTCTCCCCGTTGGCTTTGAAAAAACCCTTAAAACCCAAACCCTTTCTTCCCGTCCCATACTCTGGTTGTATTCACCTTTCTCCGTGTTTTCATGGATCTGCCTGAGGTAGAGACTCAGAGGAGGCCAGTTTCGCCCATTGAGCATCCTTCTGTGTTCCCATAGTGACTGTAACCCCACAAGCTTCTCAGTTTGTCCTCTCAAAAACTGCTCTCGGGAAGGAATTCACACTGCGGCTTAAAAGGCCAGTTGAAGATGAATGCTAATAAATGCTACTATTTATTGAGTTAGACGATATGCTCAACACTTCACATGCGTTATCTCGTTGAATCCTCAGAGCAACTGTTATCCCCACTTTACAGACGAGGAAATGGAAAGCTGAGTCACACCGTTGACCTTTCTAAAGGGTTCCAAGCAGGAGTGTATATGTGCATGTGTGCATGAGAAAAAAAATACACACAACATAAAATCTACCATTGTACCCATTCTAGAGAGTGTAAAACTCAGTACATTCACAATGCTGTGTGACCATCACCACTATCTAGTTCCAGAATTTTCATTCCCCACAAAGTAAATCCTGTACCTATTAAGCAGTCACTCCCTACACTCCCCTCCGTCCAGCCCCAGGCAACCGCTAATCTAATACCTGTCTGTGGATTTGCCTCTTCTGGATATTTCATCTAAATGGAATCATACAGTACGTGTCCTTCTGTGTCTTGCTCCTTTCACTTGGCATCCTGTTTTCAGGATTCATCCTTGTTGTAGCAGGTATCAGTACTTCATTCCTTTTTATGGCTGAATAACATTCCACTGTATGGATAGACCACATTTTGTTTATCCATTCACCTGTTGTTGAACAGGCGTGTGTATTGGAACAGAAAGATATCCTTTATTTTCAAGGAATGAATCCCCAATGTAGGATTTCGGGCATAACATCAAACTGGGAGATTAGAGAGTTGGGAGCAGGTGTCTTAGAACTTTCAAGTAACGATTAGAAATCACATATTCTGCGGCTAGCTCTGTGGGAGGGGTGATAAGGCAGGAGGTAAAATGGTACATGCTTCCCATGGGTGTCGAGGCTTCCAAACCAGTCCTGTTGCCCCAGGAGGATGCTGGGTAGGCTCCTGGAATTGAAGATGACATCTCTGCACCCCCCGCACTTCATTTCACCGGGGAAGAAGGGAAGAAAACCAGGGGTCTTAAGAGAGAATAACCAGGTTTCCACACACAGGTTGTTTGTAGAAGCATAAGGGAGGGGAGGAGCGAAGATGGCCCCCTGTACAATTTAATTCCCAGTTCAGCCCAGCCACCACCTGAAGTAGTTGTCTTGGATTCTGTCCATAACATATACACACATATGGAGGCACGCAACTTCCCCTAGTGCATCAGAAAGGTCTTAAATCAGTCTGGTTTAAAACCTGTGGCTGGCCCAAGCTTTCTTTGAGAGGCAAAGCACTGTGGTGGTTCCGAACAAAGGCTTTGGAATCGGGTAGACCTGCATGCAAATACTGCCTCTACTACCATCAGTTCTGTGAAGTTAGGCCAATGATACCGCCTCGCTTTCTTCACCTGTAAAATGGGGCAGTAGCAACAGTACCAAACTTGATGGATTCTCATGGTCACATGTGGAGAACATGGCATGGTGCATACGGGATGCGGTTTTTAAGGTTATCATTAATGGCTGCTGGCATCAATGTCTACTGCGGTTTTATGAAAGGGCAGGCTAAAGACCAAGACTGCCAGTTCTGGGTTCTTGGACAAAATGAAGCCATGAGCTCAAATGGTTCAAATGTATCCTATCATCTTACATTCCGATAGCTTTTGTCCAGTTGCTGAATCTTTTGAATTTGGGGGAGGGGGGGAAAAGTCCCCACACAAAATTGTTCCATTTGAAGAAATTTTTATTTTGATACCTACCTGAGTCCCTGGCAGGGTGGGCCTGTCCTCTATGTGGGCAATGGGGCTTTTGGGGGGAGGATGGTGGCCCTGCCCTGAGGGGGTGCCTGGGGGATGAGAACAAAGGGGTATGTGACAGTGACAGGTCACAAAGGGCAGCAGAGGATAAATATGGCTGCGCAGGGGTTTAGGCTGAGAGAGTGGTCACTTCTCTCACCATGACTGTAGTTCGCAGCCTCTCAGGAAGATAAAAAAAAGCAGGGCAGAGGGGAGGTAGAAGAGGAGCCCACCGTCCATCTCTACACGCTTGCAGAGATTCAGTCTGGGGTCCAGGCACCCACCAGCATCCCCTCTGCCATCCTCAGAGCCCCCAACCCTGACCCTTGTCTCTGGGAGGTTCTGAGCCAAAGGGGAGGGAGTCTGTGGCCTGTGGGGTGGGGTGGGGTTGAGACACCTGCCCCAGAGCCACCCGTGTGACACAGGAGCCCTCCGCCAACCCAACAAGGCCAGGGAAGAGAAGACCCAGGGACCCCCCCCTCGCCAGCCAGCACTGCTTGTGATACAAGGTGGTCATGAACGCCGAGTCTCTGCTACCCTACCACACCGCCCACAGTGCTTCGGGAGTGGGCATGTTCAACACCACCATGGGGAAACTACAGAGACAACTGCACAAGGGAGAATATGACATATTCAAGTACGCACCTATTTTTGAAAGCGACTTTATCCAGATTACCAAAAGGGGAGAAGTCATCGATGTGCACAACCGGGTCCGAATGGTGACTGTGGGCATCGCATCCACCAGCCCCATCCTCCCCCTCCCAGATGTCATGCTGCTGGCCCGCCCGGCCACCCGCTGTGAAGAGCACGCCGGGCGGGGCCAGGCCACCAAGGGCAAAGGCCGCAAGGCTTCAAAGACCTTAGAGCTCACCAGGCTCCTTCCCTTGAAGTTTGTGAGGATCTCCATTCACGACCATGAGAAACAACAGCTGCGCCTCAAGTTCGCCACGGGCCGCTCGTGCTACCTGCAGCTGAGTCCCCCGCTGGATGCGCGGGAAGACCTCTTTGCCTACTGGGAAAAGCTCATCTACCTCCTGCGGCCGCCAGTGGACAGTCACAGCAGTACCTACGCCATTCCAGCGGAGGACATGCTGTGCATGCCTGTGTTCGAGGAGGAGGACCGGAGGAGCCCAGCGGGGGCAGATTTCCAAGGAAAAGGGGATCAGGACCAGGTCAGCGTCAGGAGCCTCCACGTGGTCTCGGAGGTGGCCGGCGCCACCTCTGCGGCTTTTGCTGGCGGGGAGGGGACCCATCAGGAATCCCACAAACCCAACACCCTGCCCGACGTAGCCGCCCCAAACACAAAAGCGGCAGGGCTCGACAAGGAGTCGGCAGCAGGGACCACGACAGAGGCGGCGGCGGCGGCGGCGGGGGAGGCCGCGGGGACAGCAACAGGGTTCGCAGCGGGGGTCGCATTGGGCACCACAGCAGGCGCTTTGAGCGTGGCGATCACCAGGTCTGCGGCCCCTGAACAGCTAAGCACGGCCGTAGCCGGGGCAGCCACCAAGCGTCCGGGAGGAGGCAAAGCCAACCTCGCCATTGCAGGCGCTGCCAACACGTCCCCGAGGAGCCTGAACGTGGCCTTGGCAGGTACCGCAAAGACCCCAGGGTTTACTTCCGACTCGTCCAACGGTCTCCCAGAGGACAGCATGTCCCTGGCGTTCGCCGGGACGAGAGCTGCGGGCAGCGCTGCGGGAGGAGCCGCGCTGGACGTAGCCGAGGGAGCGCTCCTCTCGGACGCGCCGAGCGCGGGCGGCCCGGGAGGGCAGGCGGGAAGGCAGCCCCGCAAGGGCCGGAGGGAGCGGAGGGAGCGCCGGGAAAAGGAGCGAGCCCTCCGGAGCTCCCGTCGCCGCAGGGCCGCCGAGAGCCGCCACAAGGCCCCGGGGGACAAGATCACCCGGAAAGCCTCCAGCCGGTCCTTAGCCGCCCACAGAGCCGCGCGCGAGGACAAGAAGGAGAAGGGCCGCGGCAGCCCGGGGGGCGGCAGGCGCGCCCCCCACAAAGGCATCAGCCACGCCCCCATCGCCAAGGAGTCCAGGACCTCGCACAAATCGGGGCGGAGCTTGTCCACCACCAGCTCGGGCTCCGCCACCAAGAGGCTCAGCAGGATCAGCTCCTTCCTGAGGAACGTCAAAGCCAACCTTACTACAAGAACCGTGGCCTCCCCACGGGGCAGAGACGTGGACATGTTGGCGAAGACCGTGGACAGGAGCGGTATGGAGGCCATCATCGAGGCCGCAGAGAGTGGCCAGTGCCTGGAGAGCGCGGGGAGCGGGACATCTAACATCATGGAGACGGTGACCTTCGAAGCCCGTTAGTAGGACCCAGAGCTTTCGGCAGCTGCAAAGGGGACCGGGGCTCAGGGACGTATCCCCGGAGACTCCATTCCAGCTTTCCTCACTGCAGTTGAAATAAAAAACCATACAATCTGAGAATGGCATGCTGCATTCTGTCTGAATTTCTAGGTCCTGCAGCCCCGTAGTGACCTCACAGTGGATTCTGTGAGGTCAGCCGGGCTGCCACCAGAGACCCCAGGGTCCAGTCGAGGGCAGCCCCCACCTCACACTCAGAGGTGTGAGCCAAAGCTCATGCTGCCTCAAGGCCTGTCTGGCTTGTTCCTCAGGGCCACAGCTACAAGTCAAACTATGGCCCGGAATGCTCCACCTCCACCATTTCTCTATTTTTATAAACGTTTCTAACTCCTGAAGGTCCATAGACAAAGAACGGGTCTCCCCATCTCCTCAGGCTATTCAGTGGAGGGAAGAGGGGTACAGCAGCCTTTGTCGGCAATATTCTCGTCTAGACCTAGCAAGTTCTTTCCAGGGTATATATCCTGGAGAGACACCGGTCCTAAGACGGTGAGAATGTTCATAGCAAAAAATAGCAAAACACTGCAAGCAGCCCAAATTACCCTCAACACAATTGATAACACAGTAGGATATGAATGCATGCAACAGTGAGCAGCTACATACCCTGGCCTAGGAAAAAACCTATTCTGTGACTGTAACTTATTCCACTTATAGAACAGTTCAAAAACAAGATCAAAAGTACATGTGTGACAAAAACAAGGGAATAGTACACACAGAAATTCAGGACAGTGGTTTTCTCCAGGGTGGAAAGGTAAGACAGGATCACAAGGTGAACACAGGGCTTTCAGCGCTGTTGGAAATGTTCTGTGAAGCAAGGCAGTGGGCACACAGCTGTATTTTTCACACCACGATCTCTGCAATCAGAATGGTCCTAGAATTGCTTCAGACATACCAATGCCTTTCCCTTATGTTTTCACTCTTCTGTACGCACAAAAGTGTTACGTCTTATGTCTGAAAGGTCTGGTCTCTTTATTTTTTTTTTTTAAGATTTTATTTATTTAACTGACAGAGAGAGAGACAGCGAGAGAGGGAACACAAGCAGGAGGAGCGGGAGAGGGAGAAGCAGGCTTCCCGCTGAGCGGAGATCATGACCTGAGCCAAAGGCAGTCGCTTAACCAACTGAGCCACCCAGGCGTCCCAGGTCCGGTCTCTTTAAATTGGGTTCTGGGTTCTTGTAATAATTTACCTACCTACAATAAATGTAATCACTATTTTACAGATAGGAACACTGAGGCTCAGGAAAGTTAACTTGTTCCTATCGCACAGTGGAACCTTTGCAGAACAGTGACCCACTCCTTTATGCAGAGGATTCCCACCACTATGTTCCAAAACTCTGCACCAAATGTACTGGATTAAGGGGAAGGAGGTTTGAGCTGGTTTTTGAATTTCAGTGAGCTCACAGCCCTCAGCTGGTCTTATCTCCAGTGTCCAGACCACCCTTGAGTTACGTCTGGCTCCCAGGCTTCTATCCCCAGCCTCTGTGTGACCTGCACTGCAGCCATCAACAGACCTCCTGCCTGGGATTCCAGGGACCAGTCTGGAATCTCCCTACAATCCATTCCTCCCACAGCCACTAATTAAACTTTGGTATGGAGAAACAATTTAAAAGGGTTTCTCCTTACCAAGTCTCTCCTTCTGGGGTTCCGAAAACACATCCTTAAACTTCGCCTGAGGGAGATTGTTTGTTAGGTCACAGCATCCATGCACTGAAGAGCGGGGGAGGAGAGGAGTCGCTTCTGTTGGTGAAGGGAATGGCCATGGGGTGGGGCTCCGGTGAGGAAGGAAGGAGCCAGAGACCCACACACATCCACCATTTCCTCAGGCAAAACAAGGCTCACAACCCCAGGATGGAGAATTATTGGAGTGAGTCAAGTTATTCTTAAAGAATAGAACATGCCAAAGATTAGATACGGATTGGCCCCGTGAGGAAAACAACCTTGGAATCATTAACCCAGAGCTCCAGAGAAGACTCAGAGCTGCAGGGAGACAGAATTAATAGTTTACTCTTAACCAGCGTTTCCCTGGACTCGAGGCAGGGAAGTTACAAAAAGATCACATCACATTCCTTTGATCCTCTGATTTCCACACAGGCAAGTGCAGGTAAACACTAGTCTGGAATAAAGACATCTGCATAGCATTTAGCTGTTTAATAGCACTCAGTCAGTTAAAGTTCTTTAACGTATGTGCCCCCTTCTGATTCTCCCAGGTCTCCGTTTGGCAGATCAGCAAATGGGAGTTCAGAGCATTTAAAGGACTTGCTCGAGACAGAGGTGATGGTGCAGAGAGGGATGAGGCAACACCTTTCATGTATCTCCTACTGAGTGCTAGCGCCGTGTCCTGCCGGGAGCTACGGAATCAATGGGAAAAACAGGACGGGCTTGAGTGATTATCACAACTCTGAGTGACAGATACAAGGAGAGACGCATGTTCAGGGCACAGGATCCATTCAGAGGAGGCTCCGGGGCATGGGAAGGAGTCTTGGGTCAGGGAAGTGTTCACAGAGGAATTGGCAGTTTTAAGAATGAATAGGACTCTGCCAGGTGGAGGAAGTATGGGGAGCAAGGATAAAGGGTGGAGGAGGTGCGGGTCACAGAAAAGAATGTGTGCAAAGTACAAAGACTTGAAATATCACGCTGTGTTGAGCAATTATAGGTATTTCAGTATTGTTGGTTGGCGCACACGGGGAGAAGAGGAACATGAGGCTGGAGAATCAGGCAGCTGGATCTTCAGGCACCTGGGGAGCCATTGAGAGCCAGCACCTGATGGGAGTAAGTTCTCTCTGGCTCCTGGGTGGACAGCTGATGGGCAGGGGGCTGTCTGAGACAGGGGATCCTCCAGGAAGCCAGGATTGCATTAATCCTGGCCAGAGATGGGGAAATCTGATCCTGGGTGGCAGTGAGGAAAGAGAAGGGGGCAGAGTCAGGAGATGTTGAAAAGATGGAACAGGACAATTTTCCATCCCACATCCTGAAAGACAGGGAGCTCAGGGCCTGGGTTCGGCACTCATCTAAAGAGGCGGAAGGGACAAAGGGGAAGTGTCCTCCCTCCATGGTGACTGTTGGTCAGTAAAGGGGATGGCAAGAGAGAGGCTAATGGGAAAGCCAGGAGGAATGTCTTAAGATATGAAACACCTTCTAGGTGGCTAAGGGGTAAAACATCAGGATAAGGCAGCCAAAGGGAACTGGAGAGGAGAGGAGAGACTCCCTGAGCCGTTCCTTGTGCATCTGGGCAGGAGGTATTCCAACAGAACCCTCCTCCACTGCACATAAGAGTCGCTCGGTAGAGCCCCTTGTGGCCACATCCTGGCACTGCAGGCTATCGCTTGAATGATGGGAGCCAGGACTGAGGCTGAGGGGCAGTCACCACTTCCCTTTGTCACACCACAATTAGCCTAATGCCAATGCCGGAGGTGTGAGCTGGGGGGAAGGGGTCTGAGTAATGTCTCTCATCCAGGCTGCTTGGCTCCAAGCCTCTGGCAGGGAGTGGCAGAATGCGGAGTGGCCACAAGACCGGTACCCTAGGAAGTTGGGGGATCCAACTCAAGGGGACAATGAGTGACCATCCAGAATAGGGGTAGGGTGGAGTTAGTGTCAGGGTCTCTCTGCAGCCTAGAAGTCATTGGAGAAACAATTGCTGAGCACCTACTATGGGCAAGCTAGTTCATGTAAACACACACACCAGTAACATAAGTCAAAGTATGGTGGTGGCCTTGGGCGGTGTATAAAAAGCGGCCTCATAGAGAAGGGAAGGTCTGAGCAAAGAGATGATGGAGAAAGAGGAGGACTTGGGAGTTTGGGGGTCTTGGGAGATGTTTCTAGATGATAGACAAGTACAGTGTGCTCAAGATATCATGTGTTTAGGGGATAAGGTGGAGGAGGGTAGTGGGGAGGGGGTGAGGGTGTGTTGGGAAATGAGGCTGGAAGAGGAGACGAGACCACGGCATAGAGGAGAGACCAGGAATGCCAAGTAAACCCCTGGACCCCGTGATCTTCATTACTGCAAATGGGACCTGTAATCTAGAGGTGAAGGGTATATAGAACTGGATTTTCCCGGAGCAGAAGAACAGGAGAACTTAAAATGTGTTATGGAGGTTCATGTCTTCCCCCACTCTGTAAGTGGGTGTTTTCCCACAAGTGTGCTGAGGTAGCATACCGCTCACCCTGGGGACACCTGGAGGACCCAGCCAGTCAGCTTTAGCTGCCAGGAGCCCCATCCGATATCCCAGGATGCCATTCCAATGTTGCCATTTTCTACATGTGTCGAAAATGTAGACATGTACAACAGGCTGGCCTGTTCCCCCCGTTTCAGTTGCTGCTGACCATGTCACCCCTGTTTCCTTCTCCCATGGACATAGTCATATGTCCAACACCTTGCCATAATACAATTTACACTAGTTTAAGGAAGGAGAAATTGGAAAGTTTTTAATAAAACTTTAAAAAACTAATTTAACTTTATACAAAGTTTTATGAAAAACTTTCCAAAGACCTATCCTTTGCTTTGAGAGCATGTCCTTCCTCCTGTTTTTAACATTTTAGTTTGAAGTATAACATACATCCCGAGAAGCCCCCCTCAGCTTCTCTACCGCCCAGGGTAACCATTATCCTAACTTCTGACACCATAGACTCCTTTTGCTTGTTTTTCAACTTTAGGTAAATGGAATCACGTTGTATGTATTCTTTGACTCCGGTTTCTTTCCCTCAACATCATATTCATGAGATTTGTCCACAATTTTTCCGGCAATAATTCACTCATTCTCACTGCTATATAGTATTTCATTGTGTACATATACTACAATTTATTTATTCATTCAGCCATTGGTGGGTGTTTGGGTTATTTCCAGTTTTTGGCTAATAAGAAGAGTGCTGCTATGAACACCTAGATGCAGATCTTTTGATAAAAATATACATCAGGATAAGGCAGCCAAAGGGAACTGGAGAGGAGAGGAGAGACTCCCTGAGCCGTTCCTTCTGCATCTGGGCAGGAGGTATTCCAACATACATTTCTGTCAGGCGTATACTTAGAAATGGAATTGAATACACGCATATGTTCAGTTTTAGATGATAATTCCACAGTGACTGCCATTACACACTCCCACCAGGAACGTGCGAGAGCTCTTCTGTTTCCACATCCTTGCCAACGTTTGATGTTGCTCATCTCTCTCCTTCTAACGGATCTGGTGGGATGAAGTGCCTTTTCTCCCTTTCTCACAAAAATATACTTTTTTTAAAACATAATATGGTGACCTATAGAAAATGGTAATTTCGTTATAATGTCCTGAATAGGCAAAGTTAGAAGCTGGCTTCCAAACTTGTTTTGAAATCTCACACATCTCTGAGATCTTAAAAGTCCTGTGCATACATGTTTAAGGGTTTCTCATTTTAAGGAAGCTTATATTTTTATAAGCCTCTCCTACCATCCTTTTGCTTTATAATAAGCTACCCCAAAACTTTGTGACCTAAAAAATGATATTTTGTAGACAGGTGCCTGGGTGGCTCAGTTGGTTAAGCGACTGCCTTCGGCTCAGGTCATGATCCCAGGGTCCTGGGATCGAGCCCCGCATCGGGCTCCCTGCTCAG